GATATTATTCTAAACATAATTAACGCATCATTAATACGTCTAGTAGCAGTAGTTCCACAAGTAAATAACTGGAGATTATTTATTCTAAGATTCTTTGGATTCTGTTCAACAAATTGTAAGAATGTTGCTCCGTCTGAAATACTCTTACTGTGACAAATTTATATGTTGATAATATGCGGTGGGTAATTGTATACAACTGATTAAATTACCTCACACATACTGTGACTTAACGGAATCGGTTTATAAAAAACCCTTTACATTGTGCTCACGTACTCTTCACAATTGTGTTTCTTCCATTACTCCAGTTTCCAACCATTAATTTCTTTAAAAAAATTCATGCTTGAACAGTAAATCATGTTTCTTTCTTTGCTAAGTGGGTTGGAATTCGCTGTGATGATATTTGTTGGATATTAACCTACAAATCGACTGAAATCCTTACATAGGACGATAGTTTACTCAAAATATAAGCACTTTTCACCAGACTAGTTGACGATCGGAATCGCTAAGTAATTAAACTTAGGTCTTATTTATTAGTTAAAAGATAAGTTCTATGCTAGTTTACATTTTTTATCTGGAAGAAAAATGGGAAACGTCAGCGTCTATCCAACATATACTTGTTTAAGATCTAAATTATTTCTGTAATGCTAAGAGTCATTTCGCATGACAACCGTCTAAGCTAATATGTTACACAACAGGAAGTCGAACACTCATATAATGCAATTGTCGTTTTCAATAATTACTTCCAGAAACTAACATGAACAAATCACTGGAATTTCCTTATTCTATAAATGTAACATACTACGTTTTTGCAGTAAAATACAATCAAGTTTATAAAGTATATGTATGTTAGTCGACATGTTGTTGATGTGTTAATGCTCTCATTAATTGAATATCGTGAATTATCTCTAGAAATTATTCATTAGTAGAAATACAGTTTCAATGGCTATCTAAGGTCAGTCTGCAATACAACCTATAAAAAATAAATATATTGTCTGGTGTTATTCATTTATTCAATTTATAAGATACTGCACTGACTTGAATGAGTTTTCGGTTTTAGATATATAAAGTGTTAATAAAGTACAGAACGTTACACTATCAATTTGTAAGTAATTATTTGCATGGTCTTTTCAATACTAAAAATATATATGTATAGTTTATATTACTTATTAGTAGGCTACGTTAAAATTCATATTTCAAAAAACCAATCAGAACACTATTTTCAATATAGGATTACTTGTACATACGTTTGTGGAGATCATTGGATTTTCTTAATGTACATCCCTAACTGATCTTAGTTAAATAAGCACTGAAAATCAGTTTAATCTGGACAGCTTTTCGGTCCTAGTACGAGACTCCTCAACAGTGTGTATTCATAATATATCATTCGCGTATCTTCCTCCAGTTGTTCTTTGCATACTTTATCACTCAATACTGTTGTCATTCCGATTGCTCTTTATTTCTTTTACTTCTTTCCTTATTTCATTCTTCTACTAGTCAGTATTCTACTTCCAATCCCAGCCACATACTACTTATGTAGTGCACACCATATTACTATCACCTTCATTGTTTGTAATGTTTAACATCCGATAAAGAAATATCCCTAATTTAAGTTTGAAAAATTTATTATTCTCGATTGAGTTAATCGTCAAGTAGATCTTTTCGTATGATTTAGATTTAATTCTAATGGGCATTTTTTTCAACATGATGAAACTGATATCTAATTTTATGAATTATAACTGGAAATTCTTAAATTCATCTCCCAGCAACACACTCAGTCACAACCGTAAGTGAATTTCTCATTATAGTGAATGTAGTTTTAAGTTTGTCTTACAAACTATAGTTATATACTAAGCATCTTTATCATACTTGTAATATGAGTCTTTTTTTATTATTTTCATTTAATTAACGATATACGGAGTGGGCTACCCATTATTTTACGTGATAGTTTGTAATGCAACTGAAATTACAGGAATGCTATAACATACAACGTTGAAAAAAAAATATAGCCAATCATACTCAGTTATCTTTGGCGTCATTCAAATGATTAGAATTGTAGCTCTTCAATAAACCTTTACGAGAAATGGTATCAAGTCGAGTGTATTCTTATTAAAACTAATGGTGATAATCATTATATCCATAGTCCAATTTTTTGCAATATTTCGAAAACACGACTATATTTTTGCTGTACCGCGTACATGTATACAAACATTTCCAGTCACGAATAGTTTCTGCTATTTATGTTCAATATCGATTGTACAAATACTAAAGAACCGTTTTTTAATTGACTGTTTCTCATAATCCATTCAAATGTAATTATTGGTTAATTTATATAACTACTTATTACAAAATCTATTGGCGAAAACCAATAGCTTGGTAGTATAAGAAATAATGCATTTACAAATCAGTTTATTTTGATGATAATATTCGACCATATGTAATAGTTTATGTTGGTATAGAGAAATAGTCTGTATCCACTTGGATGACCTGTATTCATTTAAGCATAGTTTATATAGAAATAAAGCTCAATAAAACAATATCTATTAAATTTAACATGAAATTATTTTCAAATTTATTGTAGGATCACATCTAACAAAGTGTATTTAGAAATACTGAATTCTGTATAGTAATGACATAAACTGGATAAGATTCTAATTGTTCAAAGTTCAACCCCTCTCTCGTTATTTTTCTGATTAAAAGGTAAATAATTGTATAATTTCAGCACCTATTTATTTGTCGAAATATCGTTTAAATCTTACATAAATTTGATATGATAAGATAAAAAGACAAAGTCGCATTTTAACTTAGTGTAATTCTTTTCAATAGTTGAGATCATGAGTCAATTAAAACTAGACCGCCATGGTAAACCCGCAAGCACTGGACGGCCATTTCGTCCTATTGTGGGACTCCTCAGAGGTGCGCATCCATGATTCCGCCTCGCGAGATTCGAACCCAGGACCTATCGTTCTTGCGTGCGAACGCTCAACCTCTAGACCACTGAGCCGGCATATAACGGTGTTAATGTCTGACTTCAACTAATCCACGAAATCGAGCGATACATCCACCATTGTCATCAGTGAGTTACTGTCTCACAACAGACTAGGTTAAACTCCACTGGTCACTGGTTCTCACTAGAACTTATGATCTCAACTATTGAAGTTATTGTAATTCTTGTTCAATACTACCTTCGTTTTTAATTCAATATGATAATTATCCACTGTGATATTTAGTTTTATTTTAGTTTAAGCTTTATTCAAGATATGGTATTCTTTGTATTGAATCAATGTGAACTATATTCAGCTTAGTAGGCAATATGTGATAATTCTGGGCATTTTTCATATATATAAGTAAATGATAATCAACTAAGTGTATAAATCCAAACATAAATGGATGTATTTTCGACTACAGTTACCGTTGTATTTTTTGGAGTGAGTAAATCTCTATTTGTACCGGTCTTAATGCTCTTACTTTACGCATTTTGGAAATTGTAGTGGTTTCTTGTTTCAAGAATAAGTAATGAGCGACGTGAATAAAACAAAACCTTCACCAAGAGTGATCATCTTATATCTATAAGTGTTATATATCAAACACTAACGAAAATAGGTATGAGTAACCAATGTTGTCAAATTTTCTATTCTCTGACTATTCAATAATATTAAATAACATCGCTGACAATATTCTGTAAAATGTAGATGATTTAATACAATACGAGTGATTCTAGTCTAAATATTTATATTTAAACATGTTGGATGAAAATGTTATGATATTTCATACTACTCAAATCCCATCATTTGGACTGAATCATAATGCTCTATTGTACTAAGAAAAATAAATTAGATTTTTAGTTCTGAATAAAATTAGGATAATCATTAGAATTCCTGAAATGCATAGTACGTGGAATGAAATAGGATTTAATTTCACAAAGAATCTTTGCACATTTCTATCTTATAGACGATATTCACTCTTACTTAACGCAATGTGAAAGAAAAACTTATCAACCAAAGACTTAACAATGAAATATCACTTGAAATATGAACTCTTAGAAAGAAATATCTATAGAATAAGCCTGTATTTGAAAAAAAACAACACAATACAGTGCAGTAAAGGTGGATGTGCGTAAGTGAAATGCTTAGATACAATGGACAAATGAAGATATTCATTCCCAATTGAGACAAACGGTTTAAAATCACTACAACATTCCATAATACACAACGTCTGTTTACAAAATTTAGTGAATTGTCAACACTAAGCATCAAAAAGTTGTAGGGTGTGTGTGTGAATTTTCGTTTAGTTCTGCGTGGTAAAATTTCACTTTCTTGAAAAAAATATTAACAATTAGTAGTTTATGTAAGACAAAGAAACTGTCAGATAAAATAGGCTACAATTACAACTCTTTAATATCATAGTTGGTATACAAAAAAACGTATCAAGGACAGGCATTGAATATTAATAGCTGGTACATCATTCACTCGCGCACAAAAAAGCATTGTTGGAATAAAGTCATGGGTACGGCGAAGTGTATGAATAACTTTTTATCAATACAAAAGCATGTAGTGTTTCAGGGAAGTGAAATTACGAAACAGTGAATATAGTAATAATAATATAACAATAATAATAGTGTGATAGTAGTAATAATAATAATAACATAAAAATACAGAACCTCAGTCCACAAAATTAAGACTATAAAGATTCACAAATACAAATGAGAAGACAAAAGGCATTAGGAAAAATAGGAGATTAGTACCTTTTTAACCATTCATCATTTTAGACGTAGCTAGTTATTATTAATAACACTGATAACACGAAGAAAAAAAAACACAAGTGCATAAGAGAGTATCGGTTACGCCAAACAGCTCTTCTCAAAGAGAAGTGGCAATAAAAAGAGGTGGAGTTGGAGAGGGGATAGGAAGAGAGAGCAACACACAAGTTTACATTGGTTTGACAGGGAACTGTGGATTAGTTAAGTAAATTTGATTCGGATACATTCTTTGACCCTGGTGGAGTTACTGTTAAAGAAAAACAGAGAGATAATAATATTGGGCATTCTATAAGCAGGAATTCAGTTCGATAAATAATTTAAATTATTTGTTTAGAAAAGAAACATTATCAAAAGTTAAACACTGTAGAAACAAATAGAAATAATATCCTAAGTACCATTAATGGTTAAGATTCAAAATTAGATGGATAACGCGGTTAAGTTTGTTTATTATAAGTATCTAGAAACGCTGTACTAATCAGAAATTTTGATTCTTTATTTGACTAAAAGATAACGATAAGATCAAGGCTGGCTACTGTTCAAGTATAACAATCAAATATAAGGACTACATCATAGATCTTAATTGCTTCTGATTGTGATAAGTTGTAAGTATATCATTGGGTGACCAATATCTGTGTAAAGCTTACCGTTAATTAGCAAGGTAAAAGGTTAAATAGGTATTTATACAATTAACTGTACACTTTCTGAACACCCAAAAGTTCTATTGCTAGGATTCTGATTATGCTTCGAATCAAGCTAATATGAACTCATGTATGACCATTTACAGAAAAAAGTCAATTAATTGTTGAATAATCTAATCAACGGTAACCCAGAGAGTAATTATAGGGAGGAATACCAATCTTGAGTGATGTTATATATCTTTTGAATAGAGAATTGCTAGCTAATATATTTTAATTGGTACCAATATTACAGAATGTTTATCTAGTACGAATGCTTTATGTATTGAATTCAGAGATAAATGGAGGAAACTTGGACGAAGGAAAGATTCCGCATGCTGAATCTCAATTATCAGGCGAACGGGGTGTGAAGATACGGATAGCAGTCAACAATGTTATCAATAACACGGTAACGTTCCAGTTTTAGGGAAAACAACACAAACATTTGGCTTATGAAGTCAACTTTGGTATTTGATAAAATGTGGTAAGTTTCCATGCCAATGTTGTGTTGAATTTCATAATTTATTCAAAAATCCTAGGAAAATACGAAGTACAATTGGCATAGAAAGTATAAGATCATTTGTCATTGAATACATTAGACCGAATAAAGGCCTAAACTAGGCCAGATACTCAAATAAAGCGTAAAAATTCAAGTATCATATTGTTTGAATGACGTCAAATTATGACTATTCAAATGACTAATAAAGACTGAAATATTCTACTTTCAACAATAAACTAATATTTTAATGGTAAAGGAAAACAGGTAGAGTTTAGTCAGTTACAAGTTTGTACCGAAACAGCTTAGAATAAAAATATACTCCGAAACTGCTTTTCATTCTTAAATATTTAAAGCACCAAACATATATTTTCTGAATAAATCAATGGTAAAATAACACACCTGAATTAGCTCCGATTCAAATTTCGATATGATTGTTGTTCTGTCATCAGTAGAAATTCCATTACTAGTTAAAATTAAATTCTGATTAATTAAACTAGGATCAGTTGTTAATGCTGGTTTTTTTGGCCTGGATGAAACAGCTGTGGGGGCGGATGAAAGAGGACAATCGGACTTAGTAATAAACGGACTAGTGCCCACAACAGATGCGGTACTCTTTCCATTAGTTAAACACTTTTCACTTGTGATATTTTCTGTCAACATTGACGAGTTTTTACTCCTATTTACTTTATCATCAGTTTCATGTAATTTTTTTGAAGATGGTGCATTTATAGAGACAGGTGAATGAGGACGTTTACGATCGTAGACAGGACCGTTTGCAACTGACAACTTTAAAGTTGATGATAGATCTAATGGCTGAAACACAATACCTTTGCGTGAAGCCATTGAATCAATCACATCATTTAAGCGTCGTGCTCTCCGTGGTCGAGTCAGTAAAATTGATGGATCGTGTATACGTGCTATTATCGGCTGAGCTAAAATTAGAAAAATGTATAAAAAGTGAAAGCTTAGTGGTGATTCACATATTGTAAGGTAACAATGAAAGATTAATCTTCTAAAAAGTATATTCCGGATGTCATGTGTTAGAGAACAATCAGTAAAGTGAGAACTATCCAGTAGATGATATGCTATATAAAGACTTAGTAGCCACATCAATAAGATCTTACTCTTTTTAGCGAAGATAATTTTACTGTAATAGACACGCACAAAAGTGATTGATTTGTAACATATGGATTAAAAATACTTTGTTACGTACAACGTGCGAGGTAAATAAAATACGTAGGTACTATTTAACTACTAATAAGTAGGTAAACAAGACAAATAAAAAATAAGGACTAGAAAGTGATGATCCTAAGCAATTTCTTTCCTCAACTTTTGTTATAAAAATAGAAGTTAGGACGATCTACGTTATAAACAGAAAAAAGTATTTGCCGACTAATTTATTTTCAAAACAATGAATTCAGGACAAATGTGATAAATCAAAATAAGCACAAATTATTGTGACTAGGCAGAAATTTCAGCAGTAAACCGCACCGGAACCTAACATATATTATGTAACTAATTGATTTACAAACATCATACTGGTAATAGGAAGATAAGTGACAGGCGGTGAATAAATTTCAGTGATATCCTAGACTATGAGCAGACACAGTTGAAAAAAAAATGACCAGGAAAAGTTTTCAACAGTGTTGAAGAACCGGATGAAAGATTAAGAAGACATACAACTTCGAGATCAAAAGGCCGGATTCCGTAAGGATAGGTCATGTACAGGCCGAATTGAGGATCTGATGCAGATGTAGAGGCAAGGATTCGCAAAGGCAGCTTTCCTACATTTAAAGAATATGTGGAACTTAAAACAACTATCAACCAACAGCAAAATCATAATCTTCAATACGAACGTCAATTCATTTCTACTGAACAGAGCTGAAACTTAAAGAATTATTACAAACATTATCAAAAAGGTGCAGATATTTATAAACAATTGTCTACACAAGATACTCTATGCCCATTGGCCGGATAACATCAGCAACAACCTGCTGGGAGAGAGGAAAAACCAGCTTTCAGATGAAGAGGGGATTACGAAAAGACGTTGGAAGTGGTTACGACATACGTTGTGGAAATCATCAAACTGCATTATGAGGCATACCCTAACTTGCTTGGAATCCTGGAATCAAAAGGAAAACAGGACCGAAGAATACTTTGAATCGGGAATTGGATGAATGAATAGCTCTTGGAAAAACTGGAAGAGCCCAGGACAGAGTTGGGTGGGGAATCCTCGTGGGTGGCCTATGCTCCTCCACGATGAGTAACAGGAATAAGTAAGATCTTGAGTTGATTAACATGGACACATACAAATAGATGAAGTTTTATCAAAGTATGCTGTTATGAGTACAAATGACAATAAAGTACAGAGACTGAAAAAAACTATTATTTGATTATTAGTAATATTACTGACCAGCAGCCTTCAGTGTTTCATACATCAACATCATATTAGATTCAGACAAATTATCCATCCCCGTTAGATTAGATTCATTGTATTCGCTTTCATGTTGGACTTGTTGCTTAGATGAGAAAATTTCTGGTACTCCACCAGGATGTCGAGCTAAACGTAGAGGTTGAACAAGATTTGGACAGAGTATGCGTGCTAGACGTATAATGGACGGAGTTCTAAAGCATTGCGTTCCTCTTGGGGTACCGATTAAAGTACCGAAAAATCCAGATCCATCAATTAATTTACTATTAGCAGCGGAGAGATTAGCATTATTAGTCATGTTTGTAGCAGACGTATTATTATTATGATGGTCATTTGTATATGTATCAATGTCACCACCATCTAGAGCCTGAAATAATATCAAAAGTGTAGAAAAAACAACTCATAATAAATTAAGTGAAGCAATAATTTAGAACTATGACAGTTAAATGAAGATTAGTGAAAATAAGTGTCTGAGTTTTGATGAATATATAGTACACAAGTACTTTCACGACATGAGACATTGTACTTATGGAAGTTCAAACTGATAATTCTGCTGACGACACTGGAGAAAAAGTATAGATATATAAACAGACAGACAAGCACACAAACACGGACACATACATATATATACACATACATATATATTGAGTGTGACTGACAGGTATGATAACACTACTGGCCACATAAGAATTGAATGTACATGAATAAGTATGTATATGTGTGTTAAAGAGAAAGAGGGGGTTTCATATTAATCACTCATGTGATGATGACTGTGATAACAAATTGTTAAAAGCGATAGGGGTACGAAAAAAAAGAGATAAGTTAAAGAGCTTAAAAAAGTATCATACATTAATTAAGTAGTTTAGTTCAGTAGGTGGATAGATTGTACCTGCAAATTCTGTTTACCTCTGTTTTGATTCTCATAAATAAACGAGGAGTTTACATATAAAGTTGTTTGAGTACATAAGTCAAGTGTCGTGAAGTGAAATAAAACAACTGATTTTCTCTACGATTACGACAAACTCACTGTCTTGTTTCTTCCATAATACAATAAAATACAGATGGTTTTTTCAAACTTATGTATAGTAGACGATTTTCGTTCAAATAAGAATAATTTGTTTACTTTTAAATAAAAATTTTTATTAACCATTTGAATTTTTCGCTACGAAAATATAAGTAATAGATAACATGGCTCAGAATCAATCACAATGGCGTCGATGTATACACTCTTTATGTTCCCTTAAACCCTGAGATTAAAATTACTCTATACCTTTATTTCTACGAACTAATCCTTTCTACAATATATGCAATCTTTCTTTTATATATTACTACCATTGAAGTGACTACTATGAATTTGGTGTTCATGTTGTTGTGCTAATGAGGTGTGGCAACTTGGACCGATGCATATATGTGCCTGGTCCTACGTTGTAGCTGAAAACATTAATCAATGGTGACGAATAACACAAATGCTTTGAATCTAACTTCAGACATACAATTCACGTGAAGGGTTTTGTTCAGTGCTTTCCAAGCCTGATGGTTCATGATAGTTCGATAAAATCACTATTGTTATATTATAACAAAATAGGCGAAGTTTACGGTCTAATAAATGTAGCTATTTAAAGCAAATTGTCTCTTTTATAAATTTCAATAGAACAATGAGAAGACAGAGTTAATCTGAAAAATGTGACGTATCTGCGCTATACATTTCGAACAATCTGGTCACACATATACTTGTCAAGACAATTTGTATGGAGATTAATAAAGGGCAATTAAATAAAGGTTCAAGTAAACAAATTAATAATTATCAGTAAAGTGTTGTGGAGATTGTTGAGCTTAGACTGATATCATGAATGAATCAATGTTAGAGAAGTCCCATACTCGGGCGAAACGGTCATCCAGTGCTTCCAGGTTTTCAATGGTGGTCTAACATTGATCCAGTTATTAAATTATTAATTGTAAATAAATGGTAGAGAAAAATTACTATATTACTAAAAATTGATATATTTACGTAGTTATGTAGTTATAACTCGTCAGAATACTTATTATAATCCTCTCAGTAGTACAATTACCAACAATTATTGAATAAAGTTAACTGATTACAAAGTATATCAGTATTATTTTTTAAATGTTTAACAAAAAGCTTACATCACTCACTCCACTTGATAAGCCAATCGAATGAGATTTGAATTGGTGATTTACTGATCCAGTAATGTTAATAGGACCACCAGATTTTGAATTAGTTTCAACTGTTGAATTGTTTAACTGTTGCTGAGTACGTAAGGTTGTAGTAGGACGCTCTAAAAATAAAATAATGTCGAAGAAAAGTTAAGAAATCATATTTACAATTATTATTCAGCGATTTTTGGGGAAAGTTAGGAGTGGTCAAATCAAAACATTACATCAGTCCATGAAGCCACTAACTCTTAGACTGAGGTATGTTGGTGGGTGTAAACTACCTCACTGAAGTCCCTGTGACTATCGCAGCCTATGGTTAGAGGTTTTGGGTGACATGATTCAGGATAGTTCACAATAGCCTTCCAAGTGCACTCAGTTTTTGTCTTGCCCTAGATCCTAAGTTGCTAAAGTACCAATTTATTTTTATTTCATGAATCCATATTTTCTTCTCGAATCATATCTTTTACGTCTAATATTTCCTATTAGCGTTAATACTGTTACTACATTTACTACTCTGAGATATGCTTTGATAATTTCATTTAGCTGCGCTAACGTAGTTTGTCAGCTTGGATCGATGCATATACGTACCAGGTTCTCTGTTGTGTATGACTTCATTTCTTTCCAGTATAATACAGTAAAGAACTCTATATTGGATGTCAGAAAACAAAACGAGTCATCCAGAAATATACAGTTCACACTATAGGTCACAATTTGTTTCATTAAAATAAACAACTTGGATGATATCATCAAGAGGATGGCACACTTTTTAGGAAAAAACGATCTAAAGAAGAACTTTTTCTGGAAACATTGGTAAATTAACCTTGAAACACAAAAATTATCGTAGTCAAACGGACCAAGTCATATCAGTATCTACAAGACACATGTAGCCTCAAAACAGCTATAGACAGCCTCGATTTCACTGATTATAAAAAGTAGATTTTGAAAAGAAACAAGAAATGTGTTTGTGTTATAACTGGATAGGATGTGAGTGCTGAAAGTGTATAATTCAGATGAATATCTTATTGTAATTTAAAATACTTTACAATATTTCAAAACCAAAAAGAACAACGGATACTACGGCATTGTTGAAACACGACAAGAATCATTTCCGGAATATCGATCGTATTATATATATATATATATATATATATATATATATATATATATATATATATATATATATATAATGTTGCCAAGACAATTCTGTCTTTATTTTCTGTAATATGATTACGATAGTAATGCTTCATAGACATGGTTCATATTTTATTCAATTAAGCTTTTGATATGCACTTAGTATGCTAAATAATTTTAGCAACCTAGTGAATTTGGTACATTATTATTCCTGAGTATCAGTAGGACAACTGCAAAAAATCAAAATCATTTGATATTACAGTGACTTTGACCGGTTACTATGTCTAATATTGAATTAAATATTAAACGTTTATTCTTATTAACATATTTAGTAAAACATAAAATCGCAAAGCAGTATTCATGTTTCCATCTACTTGAGAAAGGCTAGTTAGATATGGATATTTACATTTCATTCAATAAAGATTTACAATTTGGTCCTAGTACTTAAATCCGAAATTCCAGCATTTCAATCATTTTCTCAATAGATCGAGTATAAACGGATACGATTTGAAGGTATCAATGGTTGAATACTCATGATTTTAAAATTTTCTCTGGTACTGATAATCGTGTCACACATTTGTATAGTAAACTAGGGTGGATTATTGCTTCTACTCGTATCATACCGGTCGACTACATAAGTGACATAAATATTGTAACAGTCCAGTGAGTAGTGATATTTATGTACAAAAAGACTGCTATTTAATGACAGACTATGATCAATTCAGTTCAACTGATTAATAAAGAACAAATTACCGAATCGTATTAAAGGACTTTATCATTAATGACATTTTGATGGGTAACAAACAGTAATACACTATAAACAGATGTTATACAGAGAAAAAAAGGGAGAGAAAGGAATAAGAACAGGCAATAACTAATTAAATAATGACGAGTTATTAGAACAAACAAAATATAATAAATACAGGATATTAATAATGAAAATTCATTCGTAAAAAAGGCGAAACACTAAGAAAAAAATAACGGTGACTGAATACGAGTGAGATATGGAGCGATATATATATATATATATATATATATATATATATATATATATATATATATATATTATTTTGACAAAAATCAATATATATATGCATATGCATACGAAATTATTGATTACAAAAATCTGACACAAATATGGCCGCAAATGTCAAACAGATTTTGCTATCATTGTATTTATCGATTAGCTACGTAAACATAAAATACTACAAGAATAAAGTCTAATACAGATTTCAAATGGCTGATTTCAGTGAGACTCCGACTGCATAAGATGTATACATAAGTTGTTGAAGGATCGCAATAGTAATAATAACAATGACCAGTAAAAATAAGCAGATGATAGTTTTATACTTGACAAGAAAATGTTCTAGGTGATCAAGGTGCCAACCATCATATGAATAAGAATTGTTTTGAACGACTTGAATAAGGACCAACAGGACAGCAAATGTCCTGATACGGTCGACGGTGGGGAGGGTCCAAGGAAGTACTACTCACAGCCTTCTCTCTGTGGTGTTATACACCAAATTGAGAAGACAAAAAGCGAATATCCGGCACCTTAACCGGTTTGGTGTTGGTGGGTACCGAAAATCCATCCAGGGGAGTTGGAAGACTCCAATTTCAAACTAATGGTGCACATTGGCTCCACGAGCCACTGGCAGCAAGAAGTCTGGTGTGAGCGAAACAATCTGCGAGGATGACGGAACGCCAATCACTAACATCCATCGACGTCTTGGACGATGGGCAGAATTCTTTGAAGGGCAGTTCAACTGGCCTGCTGCTCCGGCAACATCGGTCAGACTGTCCTGCCCTCCTTGGCCGGTGACGACTGATCCACCAAATGAGGCGGAAGTCCGCAAGGAACTCCAACTCTTGAAACGTTACAAATCACCAGGCCCAGACGACTTACCCCCGGCTCTTTTTAAAGATGGTGGTGACTTTCTGACTAAAGGACTGACGACGTTGTTTACAAAGATCTGGGAACTAGAGAGTGTACCAACGTCATGGAATGAGTCGATAGTTGTCCCTATCTTTAAAAAGGGTTCACGTTGTTCCTGTAACAACTATCGGGGGATAAGTCTACTTCCGATTGCGTCCAAGCTATTGGCTTCCGTCATACTTCGTAGGTTGTTCAGAACCCGAGAAGGATTGACTCGCGAGGAGCAGGCTGGGTTTCGTTCTGGTCGAGGATGTATTGATCATATCTTCACCCTCCGCCAAGTGTTAGAACACCGCCATACTTATCAAAGGCCAACAATCGTAGTGTTTCTTGATATCAAGGCTGCTTTCGATTCGTTGGACAGAACTGTTCTCTGGGATTGTCTATTGAAGAAGGGTGTGCCTGAGAAGTTTATTAACATCCTAAAAGCCTTATATACAAACACCTCAGGTAGAGTGAGGGCATACAACCACCTTTCTCCACTATTCCATTCAAGCAGTGGAGTTAGGCAGGGTTGCCCAATCTCACCATTCCTCTTCAACTTTGCCATCGATGACATTCTGGAAACAGCTCTGACGGATGTAAGTAATGGTGGTGTGGATCTGTTGCCTGGAGAAAGACTTCTCGACCTTGAGTATGCGGATGATATTGTCTTACTGTGCGAGAATGCCCAAGCCATGCAATCCGCACTTAATCAGTTGGCAATCAGTGTCCGTAGGTATGGTATGTGCTTTGCACCTTCGAAGTGCAAAGTACTTCTACAAGACTGGCAGGATTCTAATCCTGTACTCACTCTGGATGGTGAGCAGATTGAAGTAGTCGAGAAGTTCGTGTATCTAGGTAGCTGCATAAGTGCTGGTGGTGGCGTGAGTGATGAGATCAATGCACGTATAGTGAAAGCCAGAGCGGCTTATGCCAATCTGGGCCATCTTTGGCGCCTTCGTGATGTTAGTCTGGCTGTAAAAGGTCGGATCTACAACGCGACGGTGAGAGCAGTTTTGCTCTATGCTTGTGAAACCTGGCCTCTCCGAGTTGAGGATGTTCGACGACTCTCTGTGTTCGATCATCGTTGCCTCCGAAGGATTGCTGGCATCCAGTGGCAACACCATGTCAGTAATGCAGAGGTTCGGCATCGAGTGTTCGGTCACAGAGACGATAATGAAATTGGTGTCACCATCTTGAAACACCGACTTCGGTGGCTTGGACATGTTCTACGAATGTCGTCCCAGAGAATTCCTCGTCGTGCATTATTTGCCGACTCTGGGACTGGTTGGAAAAAGCGGAGAGGTGGTCAGTATATGACATGGTGTCGTGGTATGAAAGAAAGCTGCAAAGGGCTAGCTTATGTTGGTCCTTCACGACTCCCTGGTTGGGGTCCGAGAGATGGTGTAACGCAGTGGCTAGAGACGTTATCAGATATGGCTCAGAATAGAAGCCAGTGGCGATCCTGCTGTAACCTTCTTTTACTTTCTTCATAAAAAGGTGGTCGTATTCTTCCTTAACTGAAAGATCTGTTCTGATTGTACCTTTCCGTTTCCCCCACCATTGTTCTCTCTCTCTCTCTTCTTTTTTTTTTATAATTCCCCACGTTCATTACTTTTTTTTTTTTTTTTTCTCTTTTCTCCTTCTCTTCTAATTATCACTGTTTTGTGTGGCGCATATATATTTGGTGCCCCCCTGTACCAATATTTATGTGTTCAAATAAATAAATAAATAAATAAATTGTTAGCTATCGGCTACCATAGGACTGCATCTCGTAACGTTGCTCCACTGCCTTGTGGATTAGACCTCTAGATCATAGGCTCGGGCGCCCGGACGGTGTTCCAGACCAGCTCATACAAATGGAATGACAAAGTGTGGTGCAAATATCTTTGGTCTCTGTTTGTGCCAATGTATATGTGCTTAAATAAATTAATTAATTAATTAACAATTATTATTGCATATTGTTATTTATCAGTTCTAAGCATTTTACAACTGAATAGCTATTCGTGACTTTAAACGGTTAGTAAATCACACAAACAAATTGAGTATAAACTGTGATAGTGAAAGAGGAAATCGATTCAATTTAATCAGTTATAAACAATGTAGAATCTAGGGCATAAATATAGATCAATCTGAATTGCCACATCAATTCAGCACAAACAAATGAGATTACCAGCACCAATCGCAAGACAGTAGATGTAATAACAGTATTAATTGTTGTAGAAAATATTAGGGATAGACAATATGATTCGAGAATAAGGAACAAATTTGTGGAATATAGAAAAAGTATAAGATAGTTCCAAAGCTCAAGCTTTAAAAGAAATTTACAAGATGAAAAGTAAACGTTAGTAAATTAATCAGATATCCGCTGGTAGTGGGTAAAGTGTATCAAATAAGTATACAGTTGAAATGGAATGAATGATGTCTAACAACATAGATAACAAAATCACTAATAATAGGAGTAATATTAATAAAAACAATTATGAGAGAAAACAGGCAAAAGGACAAAAAATAACAAAATTTTCAATTTTGAGAAGAAAACCTAATGGAATTTTGGCTTCATCCTGATAATACACATTCACTTGTAATAAGCTTCATTTCCCTGGGTATGCTAAATTCTATGATAATTTTGATTTTAAAATATTCTAGATTGAAAGTGGCTGATCAGAATCTTATGAAATGGAGTGAATTTTACTTAGACTCTATTCAGATTTTTATTTCTGCTCTCTTCAAGATCATAGATGGAATGATATGTATATAAAAAAATACATGATAGTTGACTCATTTTAGTTTTACACTATAAAGAAGAGAAGTCGTAAATAACTTAGGAAAAAAAATCACAACAAAAGTAAATAATAGTCAATAAACAGTTGAAAATCAGAGGCTACTTGGCGATTTCGGCTTTTTAGTTTAATACCAACAAAAAGTATAAACCATTTACAACATCCACTTTGAAGTTCTTTGGAACGGATCAATATCCCTTCTCTAATCTTTTAAGATGAATCCGAGATGCCAGACCTATCGGTCAAATGATAAGTGCATCTGATTGATTAGCCAATAAATGACTCGGATTTCTACGGAATGAGACATACACAATCAGTGGCTTAATTTTCTAACGGACATATGTATGAATACATATATATACATTTCCGACTGGTTTAGTCAATAAACTTGCTTCTCCCTTTCAGCCTTTTCCTTCGTTCAACCGATTGGGCTCATATATAAGTAGATTCTATATTAATATCAAAATTGGACACCGTACATCACAGGGCAGAAACGATTACAAATTCACTAATTTTTTTGACTTTGGATACAGAGAAATGAAACAAATTCCCAATGACTTTTTACCCTTAGTTGTTATGTAGCCGATGATATATGTGTTCGCAATGATAGTAGTGGCAACTTATAAAACAAATCGTCAAATTTCTAGGAGAAAAATACAACATACATGAAGCTAAGACAATATTACATCAATATATGTATCCTTTCGATAAATACTAAATATCTGCTTCAAATAAGACAACATGTATATCGAATAAATGGATAGTCAAATGAAGTTAATATTGTATCATGTGATGATGCTGATGATAATTCTCCTTTGTCACGTTCTTTAATAATAAAATAAACAAATAAATCAATATCTATGATAACTAGCAACATGATTATATAACGTATTATATATATCAAAGTAAATAAATTACCTTTAGATTCGATACTTTTCAAACCACCATAACGTTTCCAATAAGACCAACAATCAGTACATAGACGAGAGTTAGCATTCGATGGACCCCATGCATACCATTGAGGGGAATTTAATGCTTTAGTTAATAAATGAAAACAAATGCTCTCATAAGACAACTATGGGTATAAACAAACATATCAGGTAGTTAGTTACTTTATGGGCTTCTCGATAAAATGATCAATTTATTCTTAAAATGAAGAGATTTTCATAAAGCGATTTGAAAATATCTGAAAACTTAAGTAATTTTTTGGTACAGTATAACAAAAAACGACTTAAATTTCTCAGTGAATAAAACTGGAAATATATCTAGAAGATGGGATCGCGATTCGACAATTGTTAGTTATTTTATCTATCTATATACAAATAATCATATCAATTTACAACCCAGTGAGCTTATATTCATTCGCTTGCAGAAGAAAACGATTGACATCTGAACTTTATAAAAATCTTAAGCAAAATGCAATAGTTAACAAGTTGAACCATATGTTTAAGTAGACAATATTTAAGAAATGTGAGCCTCAAAAGTCAAGAGAACCAAAACAGTTAATACAATGAGAAGAAACCTAAGAAAGATGTGTGGGCTTTTGTTTTGCACATACAACTTGAGGAAGTTAATGGAAACACCAAACTTTATCACTGTGTAAAAATAGAACCAATTGGCGTAGTCAGCATCTTAAGCGAAAAGATATGCTGTCTATTTATCTTAAGGTAAGTGTATATAGAACAATGGTGTGATTGGTAATTTAAATCTGTTAGGAATTGGTAGTCCATGCGATCACAGAATCAGTTAAAAACAATCACACTAATGGAATCAAAATTTCAGTGTCGTATGAAGTACCCAGCATTTGAAATATAAGACAGTACATCATCTAAAAATTTAGAAACGGTATACATGTTTTAATATTGAACATAAGTGACTGAGGTGAATTTAGATTTAGAACTCAATCGATTGTCAAAAGTTACACACTGAGTGAGATTTATGTTTATTTTGTGTATACACAACGGATACATAACCCACGTGTTCATGGTAATAAGACAGAAATAACTTAATATGAAGACACCGAGGAAGTAAGAAAATATAATACAAATACTATTTGAAATTATGTCACACATGTTAAAGATAAAAAGAACCACTAAAAACAGGAAATAGATGTCACAACATGAAGGTAGAATATCAAATTAGAAAAGTATTTATCTAGTAGTGCAATTTGTTTGCATAAGATCATTATCTAATTGTGAGAAGTTCGGTAAAGAAACTGATGGTTATTGAAACTAGAACTTTAAAGGTTTCTTCTAAAACTGACAAACAGATAACAAGAAAAGATACGTATATGCAATAAAGTGGAGTTTATAGTAAATAAGAATAACAACAGAGACAGTCGATAACTTCAACAAATAACTTCTCAAACTCACTGAAATCTCATAAATCAGTATGATGGAGATAGGAAGGAAAAAGAACTAATGACGTGGCGAAGACTTAGATCATTAAACAATTGCAGTTCAGACAACCTTTAGTACGTACATTTCATGGAATATAATTAGTCCTGACAAATAAACGATTATCGACTTAGTTTAATCTTTTTTTCATGGATATTTTCCCTATTTTTATGTGTATATCTCAAGAAAATGAATCACTTTAAAACTGTAATTGTATAACACTAGAAATACAACATCAAACTAAATTAATTGATAAATGTATTCCGCTAAGAGATATGAATGAAATAATAGATTTATACGAACATTCATCAATATTAGAACGAATAATTTGACAGAAATTGGGCGCCGAGTATAGAGAAAATTATATTTGAAATAATTTCAGCGATTGAAATTTAAAGTAATTTCAACGTTTTATCCAGCAAATTTGTCTAGACTTCTTCAAGATAATAATAAAATTCAAAATTATCAAGGAAATAGCGAGCGTTTTTCTTTTTTAAGGAAAAGAAACAAAAAAAATAGCGAATTAACTTACATCCACATCCTTCACATGGTCGATTAATTGTTTTATCCGTATTGTGATATAATACAGCTGGATTAGGTTTATTATAATTTGGAATATAAACTTGTTTTAATTTATGTTCCTGAGCAGCTAATTTAGTTCGACGTTGTCGAACATAACGATCTGTAGTTTTCCAAAAATAATAAAGTTCAACTATTGATTTATGAGTTTTCCATGGTAAGCAATTAGAAAGTATATCTGCGAATACTTTCGAATATTTATCTAATGCTTCTTCAAATATATTTGTTTCGTTTGCAGACCAATCTTCTAATTGATCACGATAAATAATAGGTTGACCACCTGAAATTAAATATTCAGTATTGTATTAATTAAAATTTTCTTTAATAATAATAAAGATTATAAGAGAAGTGGCGGCTTAACGAGAACTTGGTAACTTGAGGACCTCATTTTATTCCATCACTAAAAAGACATGTCAAAATATACAAACTTCTAGATTTGGGCCGGTGGAATAGATATCATTTGTAGTTATTTTTTATCCTCCTCTAAGTCTTAAATTTTGTGTCACCAAATTCTATTCATTCTTCGATTAGTTTCGCTATTTATATGTATTGATTTCGATTGTCAGTGATGCATAGTATGCTGTGCTAATGGTGGTGAAGTTTAACAACTTGAATCGATATACACCAGTTCTAGATGTCACCTCAACTATAACTGCCTAACAACTTGCAAAAAGAATAGGATTTTATTTAACATACTTATTGTGTACATGTTATTGGGATATGATTACTCTTGAAGAGACAAAGCACTAGCAACATTATCCATCATTTAGTTCATATTCATCTTTTAACAAAGCTATTTAAATTTATCAGCTACCAGAAAGTAGTAACTCCGCCTGGGGTACCTTTCCGGGGGCTACTGCCGGTCCCAAGCCCGGATAAAGGAGGAGGGTTGGGCATGGGGTTAGCGACCCCATCCCGTAGAAAACTAACTCACTAAAAAAACGCTAACCAGGAAAAACTATTCAAACCATTTAAACTCTGCCCTGGGAGTCAGGAGGTCTTCGTTTAGAAGAATTATGACGCCTCATGATGAAAGCCGAGTTTCTTCGGAAGTCAAGAGGCCGATGCCCCTTCTGACAACCAGAGCAAACATTTATTTAGGTACATGGAATGCTCGCACAATGTGGGAGACTGGGAGAGTTTTCCAAATTGCTGCAGAAATGAGGAGATACAATTTAGAGGTGCTTGGGATCAGTGAAACACATTGGACGCAAGTTGGACAACAACGACTAGCTTCAGGGGAGCTGCTGTTATACTCCGGACATGAACAAGAAAATGCCCCACATACACAAGGAGTTGCATTGATGCTGTCCAAACAAGCACAAAATGCACTTATAGGATGGGAATCTCATGGACCAAGGATCATCAAAGCCTCCTTCAAAACAAAGAAAACGGGGATTACAATGAACGTCATCCAATGCTACGCGCCTACCAACGACAACAATGAAGACGCTAAATATAAATTCTACGATAGGCTGCAGTCAATCGTCGAGAAGTGCCCAACAAAAGACCTGACTATTCTGATGGGAGACCTAAATGCCAAGGTTGGAATTGACAACACCGGATATGAAGAGATCATGGGACGACACGGACTGGGAGAAAGGAACGAAAATGGTGAGAGATTTGCAAATCTATGTGCCTTCAATAAACTGGTCATAGGCGGGACTATATTCCCACATAAACGCATACACAAAACCACATGGACTTCACCGGATCACACACACAGAACCAAATCGACCATATCTGCATCAACAAAAAGTTCAGGAGGACGATGGAGGACGTGAGAACAAAGAGAGGAGCTGATATAGCATCAGATCATCACTTGCTGGTCGCCAAGATGAAATTGAAACTCAAGAGGCACTGGACAACGGGGAGGACAATATCACAAAAATTTAATACGGCTCTTCTTCGGGATAATGACAAACTCAATAAATTCAAGATAACCCTCAGCAATAAGTTCCAAGCCTTTCATGATCTACTCAATGGAGAAGGAACTACTATGGAGAGCAACTGGAAAGAGATAAAAGAGGCAATCACTTCAACATGTCATGAGGTTCTGGGCCAAAAGAAGCACCATCACAAGGATTGGATCACGGTCGATACACTGGATAAGATTCAAGAAAGGAGGAACAAGAAAGCAGTAATCAATACCAGTCGAACAAGAGCAGAAAAAGTCAAGGCACAGGCTGAATACACAGAAGTAAACAAGCAAGTGAAAAGGAGCATCAGAACTGACAAACGTAAATATGTGGAAGATTTGGCATGACGGCGGAAAAGGCTGCCAGAGAAGGAAACATGAGACAACTGTATGAAACAACAAAGAAACTCTCTGGAAATCACCGTAAACCAGAACGACCAGTGAAAAGCAAGGAAGGCAAGATAATCACCAACATTGAAGAACAACGAAAGAGGTGGGTAGAACACTTCAAAGAACTCTTGAATCGACCAGCCCCACTGAACCCACCCAACATCAAAGCAGCACTCACGGACCTCCCAATTGATGTTGGCGCACCACAATTGAAGAAATCAGCATGGCTATCAGACAAATCAAGAGTGGCAAAGCAGCAGGACTAGACAGCATTCCAGCAGAGGCACTGAAAGCAGACGTAGCGGCAACTGCAAGGATACTCCAAACTCTCTTCAGAAAGATCTGGGATGAGGAACAGGTACCAAAAGACTGGAAAGAAGGACTTCTAGTCAAAATACCAAAGGAAGGCGATCTCAGCAACTGTGACAACTACAGGGTAATCACTCTTCTCTCAATACCAGGAAAAGTCTTCAACAGGGTATTGTTAAACAGGATGAAGGACCCCAAATGCCCTGGTATGGCCGAGAGTGGGGAGAGTCCGCTCTCCCTCTCGAAATGCTCTCATGGCCACGCGTATACAGCCCCTGCCATGGAAGTCCAACTCACTGCCTTCTCGTGGCATGGGTGTTGTTTAAGAAAATGAGAGGACAAAAAGCGAATGTCCGGCGCTTTAACCGGATCCCAAATCAATGGTGCACATGGGCTCCAGTATCCTGAAGGAACAAATGGCGTATGAACCAATCGTTGGTCACCGGCTACCATGGGACTGCATCTCCTTACAATGCTCCACTGCCTTGTGGATCAGATCTTCAGGTCAAAGGCTCGAGGTGTGGCTCACTAAGAAAACCACCTGCTTCAGTTTGGGCACCCGAGCAGTATCCCAGCCCTCACACATCAAATGAGATCTGTGTGGCGCATATGTATTTGGTGCCTTCTTGTACCGATATCTATGTGTTAAAATAAAATAATAAATAAGATTCTCCGATACAACACAGCATGCAACAATCCAATCACAATTGACGGAGAAGATTTGGAAGATGTCAAAACCTTTACATATTTGGGCAGTATCATCGATGAACACGGTGGATCTGATGCAGATGTGAAGGCGTGGATCGGCAAAGCAAGAGCAGCATATTTACAACTGAAGAATATCTGGAACTCAAAACAATTGGCAACCAACACCAAAGTTAGAATTTTCAATACAAATGTCAAAACAGTTCTACTGTATGGGGCGGAAACCTGGAAAACTACGAAATCCATCATCCAGAAGATACAGGTGTTTATTAACAGTTGTCTACGCAAAATACCTCGGATTCGTTGGCCAGACACTATTAGCAACAACCTACTATGAGAGAGAACAAACCACATCCCAGTGGAGGAAGAAATCAGGAAGAAGCGCTGGAAGTGGATAGGACACACATTGAGGAAAGCACCGAACTGCGTCACAAGACAAGCCCTCACATGGAATCCTCAAGGTCGAAGGAGGAGAGGAAGACCAAAGAACACATTACGCCGAGAAATGCAGATAGACATGAGAAAAATGAACAAGAATTGGATGGAACTAGAAAAGAAGGCCCAGGACAGAGTGGGTTGGAGAATGGTGGTCGGCGACCTGTGCTCCATTGGGAGTAACAGGCGTAAGTAAGTAAGTAAGTAAGTAAGTAAGTAAGTAAGTAAGTAAGTAAGTAAGTAAGTAAGTAAGTAAGTAAGTAAGTAAGTAAGTAAGTAAGTAAGTAAGTAAAGTAAGTAAGTAAGTAAGTAAGTAAGTAAGTAAGTAAGTAAGTAAGTAAGTAAGTAAGTAAGTAAGTAAGTAAGTAAGTAAGTAAGTAAGTAAGTAAGTAAGTAAGTAAGTAAGTAAGTAAGTAAGTAAGTAAGTAAGTAAGTAAGTAAGTAGAAGTAAGTAAGTAAGTAAGTAAGTAAGAAGTAAGTAAGTAAGTAAGTAAGTAAGTAAGTAAGTAAGTAAGTAAGTAAGTAAGTAAGTAAGTAAGTAAGTAAGTAAGTAAGTAAGTAAGTAAGTAAGTAAGTAAGTAAGTAAGTAAGTAAGTAAGTAAGTAAGTAAGTAAGTAAGTAAGTAAGTAAGTAAGTAAGTAAGTAAGTAAGTAAGTAAGTAAGTAAGTAAAGTAAGTAAGTAAGTAAGTAAGTAAGTAAGTAAGTAAGTAAGTAAGTAAGTAAGTAAGTAAGTAAGTAAGTAAGTAAGTAAGTAAGTAAGTAAGTAAGTAAGTAAGTAAGTAAGTAAGTAAGTAAGTAAGTAAGTAAGTAAGTAAGTAAGTAAGTAAGTAAGTAAGTAAGTAAGTAAGTAAGTAAGTAAGTAAGTAAGTAAGTAAGTAAGTAAGTAAGTAAGTAAGTAAGTAAGTAAGCAAGTAAGTAAGTATATACACTTTCGTTTACATTAAATGTCTATCATACGTAATTGTTCTATTTTGAGAATTGCTCCTCGAATTGTAAAGATGATATAATCTTGATGTATTCTATAATATTTCTTGTATCAATCTTATAAATCTGTTATGTATTTCACTCATGTAATTCTAAATGAGCATTCATCTTTTTTTATTCAACAACAATATACATATATAAGCATAGAATTCTATTCTCCACAGGATGCTAGACACCTTAGCTCGATCGATTTTTCTTTGTCAGTATAGAATCCATACACATATACATATGCACAGGTATATATAAAAAAAATTCATGTTTGCTTGTATATATATATATATATATATATATATATATATATATATATATATAGAGAGAGAGAGAGAGAGAGAGAGAGAGAGAGAGAGAGAAAGAGAGAAAGAAAAGAAAGAGAAAAGTCTTAATGAACTTTGCATCAGGTCACGAAAACAAGCCAAATTAGGAAGGAAAAAAACAAAAGCCCTTTCGAGGTAGCTGTTGGAAGGCCCAAATACAAGGTAATGAAATAACATTCATGACAAGAAATAAATAAAATTAAACTAACCAGGTAATAGAAGATTTATGGCTTTATTCAAGTCGTAATTGGCTTCATGAAGTATATCATGCGCATGTTGACGAGTTATATCACGTGCAGCTGAAGCTGTAGCACTTAGTAGAAGTGGTTGTTTAGTAGATGATGAAGTATCATGTGCACGACCGTACGTACCAACAGCTTTGGCTAATAAACAAAACATATCGATTTCTTGAACTGTTAATGAATGGGAAGGGGACCAAACTAACTCTTCATGTACTTCAGTCAACCGGACATCTTCTGATTCTGCAATCAACATAAAAAGGAATTTGAATTTAAAATTTAATAAAAGAATTCTTAGTGATGAATTCAATTTTCAAGCACTTTTCTAAGGTATCGTTGTACATTGATTAAAGAATAAAGTCAATCTGGAGGAAATAAATATACTAGAGTGATATATAAGTTTTTTTTTCCAAATTTATAATTTCAGAATATTTGATTTTTTCTTTAATGATTTTCTGGACTAAACGCAACTAAGTTGGAAGTTATACCAATTTCCAGTGACGTCTTACACAGAACCATTCAAATCAAACATTTTCTCAACACTGCAAACGTCATTATTTGTTATTGTTATTTAATCTTAATAAACTTTTTCAGTAAGACTACTTAGATTTGAAATAACACTGCACTAATATAAATTTCAAGATTCTTTGAAAAATTAGTTGACAAACTGAATTTTTGTTTCAAAGGTACGTGACAAAAGACGTACACTGTAGAGTATCCCATAAGGTTCCATATAGTAGTAAATTATATCGCTAAAAACAACCGAAATAACCAGGACTGAACGACTGAATTTGACTTCATTTCAATCAAATTTCAAGTAGTGTTAACATTTTAATACATTAAATGAGGAAAAAAATGGTAGATAAGAGATCAGTGAGTTAGTACTCGAGAATTCCTATCAATTTAACATTTTTACCATTGAAATTGATATGATCAGAAATACCACGGTAGCTAGTGGGAAGAAATTTAGCTGTTAATAAATAGATATGACAAGTCAGCTGATACATTATACTTGCAACAACGTAGGAGTCGGTAATTAGAATTAAACAACAGGAAGCATATTCCTCGAATATCAGCCATTATCCTCGGCGATCGGAGGAGGTAACAATAGGATATATATATATATATATATATATATATATATATATATATATATATATATGATAGTAGTAGTAATAGGAGTAATAATAATAATGACTGATAATAAACTTGTTATAATTTATTTTGGTTATCTTTTTACTCTGAAACGGCTTGCATTAAGTCACGAGACGTCAGAAATACAATTTTTCTATTCATTGGGATATAACAAAGAAATTATTATTAACTTTCTGCCAAATTCTCAATTCATTTGAAACTATCAAGTCCAACCTTGGCATTGATACCTATAAAATGATTGACAAGTTGTATAAACTGTGAACATCAATATTCCGCTACTGATAATAAAGACTACCACGCAGTCGCGATTTTCTTTCTCTGTACTGTTGGTTAGTTTAGCATCAGAAACGTGAAAATAGTGGAATAAAACCGCAGAACACAACATTTGACCTTGGAAGTTCAGGAGAAAAGGAATATATATAACTTAAACATCAAATTTTAATATTTGCAAGCATAATATGAATGTTACTCATCATTTTGAGGAGTGAAATAACAATAATGTGAAAGTTATGCTGGAGTATGGAAAAAACGAAAGAAACTATAAGAGAATGAAAAGCTACAATAAATAAACTAATCAATAAACAGCCAATATAGTTGGAAAGCAATTTACTTGATTTTAGTAAGCATTGTATCTCAGACTGATAATCTGATCCAATTCTCATTGAACCTCTATCTTCTTGAAGAGTCTTTAAATTAGGATCATATATAAGTTTATAATAAAATGCCTCATCTCTGACTAGGTAATTTGTCAATGGTTCTGCATCATTGTGTAATGTAACCGAGCATTTACCTGAATAAAATATAAATAATAAGTTTATGAAGAGCATTAAACTAGATCTAATGTGATCCATAAGTCAACACTGTCATATATATACTCCCACGTTAAACTTGAAGACCTCCAAACAATGTGTTTGTTGGTGTTCAATTTAGTTAATAAATTAAAAGATGAAAGGACAGTGATAAAACAGATACATAGACTCTTCATAATCATAGATAAACAAGAATATCTTATTGAATTTCATCGTACTAAAAGTGTTTTCATACTTCACCTTCTTACATAATATCAATAGACGATCAGATTAATTCGATAATAATAATAATAACAGGAGTTTTGACTTGAAAAGTTAGGAATTTTACAGGAAAAATTGAGTTTCGTCAAGATAGTTGATAAATTCTAATGGGCACAAAAGTTCACCTAAATATACAACATACAATACATTGAGCTGAAGAACATGTCACAAGCTATTGAGTAATAAAGTATACTTAATACAAATGAATAGTAATACGAATTATATCCTATGTGTTAGAATATATTGGTGACTGTTTAAATCATCTAATATGTGGTAGTAATTTAATGGTAAGTTTTAAAATCCTAACACACTTAAACAAGGAATGAAGCTAACAAGAAATTTTTATATTGAATAACAAACGAAAAAAGAAGACAATGGATATATTAAAAAAATGCAAATATAATTAAAATAGTTCAATAATATGTTACCCCTAATATGAGTAGCTGGTAGACATTCAACTTGTCGTGAAAGAAACAATTCTCGATGTTTTAATTGATGCTTTTGTTGTTCAGTGATTACAGTATTAGAACGTTTTAAGCCTTCTTTGGAGTTATTATCATTATTATTTGAATTGGTTGTTTCATTTGTACATTCTTCATCGTAATCTTCATCACTGCCATCTATATTAGAAAATATAAAATGAAATGACAATCCAAAGCTAAACTGTATACATATACATGTACAAGCAGTGGGAAAAAGATTTTTTTTCACATTACTGTCATTACTATCATTGATAGAAATAAACACTCAAATGATTTCAAAAGTGTAATTCAATCTACGCTCAATATTTTTAAACAACAGATCTGGAATGCCTGTATGTAGGGGAAACAACTTAACTTTTAAACTTGATACAACACTATTTGTGTGCCATGAGGCAATTTACCAATGCAGAAATGTTGGATATCTGTTTCATGGAATTGGGTTTTTATCACTCATTTTCACTTTACAAGAAATATATCTGAAAATTTTACTGAACACTACAACTATTGTTTTATACGATAAAGACGAACCGTCTCTCAGTTACTCACAAATTATAGTTACGGTTTATGCATGGTACAAAATAATAGAATTACGTTAATTATAGATTACCTCCCTGTTAATTTTTATCGGATATGTGCCCAAAGGAATGAGAACAAGATATATATGAGGCAGTAAACAAGACATATCAACAGACATACAATTATAGTATACACATGTATGGTCGTCACATACAGACAAGTAGTAAAATCGAACGGACAAACAAACAATAGGATGGACCAGTTAAGTAAATATACAGACATGACCTTAAGACTAAAAAATCAAAATGGTTGACTTGTGTAACCAACATGGCGTCGCCCAATTTAGTACATATGCGCGCAGCCATAGTGATTTATCAGTTTTAACTTAAGAGAAGTCCAGTGGGTTCGAATGGAAAGAATATAACATCGTTTGGTGCTAGCAATAACCAATTAAGAGAGTGTGGTTTAAAACTTTACAGTGCTTGAAATCAAAGTACCACTGTGAATGACAACCGTGTAAAATATTTTAAAAAATTTCTTCCATCTAAATATAAACAACAGCAATTTAACATATATGAGCAAACAGACAATCAACCGGTTAGTAAGAAATGCAGGTCAACTATATGCACAACAAAACGGTACCTTGATTCAAAATTCAACAAGACTTTCATTCTATAAAGCGGATTGCACATAAACCACTTTGTCTGCAAAACAGTATAGATAAGTCTAATGCTTGATTTCTCTTGTTTTACAGAAGAAAATTGATCATTAGAATTCAGTTAAACAGTCATACTAACAAGGAGAAATCTATATACATGTCCATTTTTGTATTTCTTTTCATTTTAGTTCTTTATCTCTACATTCAAAAGTCATTATTACATATAACAATGATAGTAATCATTAATGGTCATTAACTTGTAAGAATATAGTATCAAAACGATTGATTACTTGTGAATCGTACAGTAGGTATTTTCAAATAATAAAGAAGGTAAGAGCTTCAATCAGATTATCTTGCCAACACAATAAAACACAAATATAACTGCTAGCGTTTTACCACCATTTAGGCGTTTATACTGCACTTGCAAGTGAGTAAGAATATGAAACGATTTTAAAATGTTAGTGTAAACCTTCTTCAAAGTAGAATATAAGTGTATTTCCACATTGAATATTAACCATAACTGTATTTACTCTATTCTATACTGACATATAGTCGTTGACAGTGTATAGTTTTTAGGAATGGATACTGAACACAAACAGTAAATTATCGGTTTTAAAGGAACATAAAAACAGAATGGCGTGTTATATAGAATAATTAGTCATATCTATACGATAAATTCAATGAGAACCTACAGTATTTCTCTGCCTGATTAATCAAAGCACTGGATACATCACGTCTACGGTAGTAACAGGCAACTTTAGCTTCAACAGCACCAGTGGGAGTCTACAGATTTAAAAGAAAACAAGTGACAGCATCGTTTAATGACGTAGCTAAATTGTAAGGTAGATCAATTAATTATTTGTAAATTTTCGCGATTTTACACTTACAAAATGAGGAAACTCAAACAGTAATTTTAAAATACGTATTGCGTCAGTAATAGAAAGTTAAAACCTTGTAGTAAATGATATATATATCTGTATAGTACTGGAGATTAAATATGTATAACAAGTAATTTACAATCAATAAAAAAAATCAATAGACCTGAAAAATAACGAGTAACTTGACCATCAATAAAAGCAAGAAAAAAGCGATCAATAAGTAGGTTGCGGATGTAGAAGGTGGGACACTAGCAACAATAAGAATAAGGACATAGACGAAAAAACAACCAGTTAGCTAATCGAAAATGTGTATATTAACACATAAAGCGTATAATGGGATTAATACAGAATTTGTCTAACACGAAATATAACCGATTTAGATCACTAAGTCAGTAACAAGAAACTAGAATGGGTTCCAGTTTTGATGAAATATTTGAACGGAAAGTATTTCAGTATTAATGAGGCTTTTCAGGGTATTACGTATCATTTGTATTGTCATAATATAATCAAAAAATGTGTTCTAATAAAGTCAGAGGTGTAAATTATTCATCAAATATCAATGAATCCCATTAATAAATTAGTGACGGATACTTCCTAAATGATCTCAAGTTTCATTACATTCTCATTTTGAACACTTTTGATTTGTTGCGAACCTGAATATTACAAATAACGAATTATGCCAAAGCAATTTACTATTTCAATAGATTTTCGACAGAAATACACTAAAGATACATTAAAAGCAAAAGGCAACAACAATTCCATGAAGTAAAGAACTCTTCACATTCTAATGAAACGATGACAAATGTCTTAATTACATTATATTGTCATGATGTACAAAGAAATTATCTATGGAAATAATCTAAATAAGTCAGTCACATGCAACGTAGAATCTGACACATACATGCATCGATTTAAGTACCTACCTATAATCAAAGTGAGATAAAATTATCACGACAAATCACAGAGTAGTAGAAGTAATAATGGTATCAGTAGTATTAGAAAATAATAGGTGTGGAAAAGAAATGAAAAAGTATAGAGATTTTGAGGCTCAGGTTCCAAGGGAAGACACAGTGAATTTACCTGAGCGATAGCGAGTCATGTCACTCAAATTCTCTAACAGTTGGTTACGATAATCACGTGGACCCCAACCAAGTAATCTACACTCATTAATATGGCTTAGTCCAGTTGTCAATGCATCATGAACTGATGCTATGTTTTGGTTTGGCCGCCACTATCTTATTCCCAGCTTACTCCAACACCATATAACATCGCTCGTTGAGGTAGACGGTGGTCGAACATACGTAACACATGTCCAGACTACATCAGTTGATGAAGATCCACTACCTCGTTAGAATTAATTCATTAAATGCATAACTACGGCCTTTACAGACAGAGATGGATATGCTGTTTATTTAACAAGAAATTAGATGTATTTTATATATATAATAATCACTGAAAGGTATCAGTTAAGAGGCAAAGTTACATATAAGTAGAGCAGGGTAATATACAAACTGAACATTAAAAATTCCATTGGTTGATATATGTTACAAATGTAAATTACAGAAACTAGGGAAATTTTGAACGGTTTACTACGAAGCGTCCCTGTAGAAATAGATGTGGTTGAGCCAAGTATTGGACTTATGAACGCTAACAGACCAGTTATTACCAGTCTTTTGTATCCTATGTGTCATCACATAATTAATCACATAGAATCTCTGTTGAGAAATACGACGATTTTTGGTCTGCAACACGTATGATAACGTACAAACACAGAGAATAAAGACTTTATCATAAATAACATATGTTCTAACCACTTCAGTTAATAAAGGTTTACTACCTACCTTATCGAACAATTTACTATTTTTACCAAGTATCCTACACCTAACCTCAAAATTGGTCATTCAGTGGTCCCAAAATACATGAACTATGCTTCGAAGATATCCGTGACCGAAAACTAGTAACCTACGAATATCCTCTATTCTTAATGGTAATGTTTTATAATATAACTCAAAAGCACAGTTAATTTATAGATACATTGTACTTACTTTATTAAGTTCATCTATTCGACGGATTTGATATGGAGCAGTGGCTGATGATTCAAAATAAACGAAATCTACAACAAAAAAGTAATTATCAATGATCAGAGAAAGAAAATATATTAATTATAACCCCATAGTTAATTTTATTTATTATCCAAGCTTTCTTGAGTAATCTCATACAGCGAATAATTAACATGTTGATGCCATCCATTACATGTTAATCGAGTATTGTATGAGTGCTGGTAGTAACAATATCTAGCTATCCAGAAAATTAGGTAACCACAAAGAAAATAAGTGCTTAAACTTACGATACTATAAGTTTTGAATTATTATTCACTGAAGTTAACTCTCATGTACCTTATCTGTTCATTGTAATAGTCATTAACAAATTCAGATTGTTATGAGTTTGTAAAAATAATAATAGAATAGACTAAGATTATAATTTTGACTGCATTTTAATGATTCCACACTAGACCAAATCTTCCACTCCAACCAAAGTATGATGGTTTCTTTTTCAAACTCTCAGGCAGACATAACTGATTTTGCAAGTAAAATTTTATAGTGGAACACATTTAGTGAATGAAGGCTGATGATATTCATTCGGGTGTCCATATCGAAATACGTGAAATAAGGTAGCTTAATTTCTGAGAGCCAAGTGTCTACGTTATGTAAGTTATAGCTCTAATAGTCTAAATTTACTATTAAATGAAAAACATGGAATACCAGTTTTCTGCATAGAAATGCTTAGATAAAATACTACGGAACGGAATTAGTCAATATCACAAAGTATGATAATTTCTTTGCGTAGTTATTGTTAAAGTGGCACACACGAACAAAACACACTGAAGTAAGAGTTAAGGCCTAGTTGTAACATATCAAATTGGTGGCTGGTTTGTCGATAGTGGCATACGGAAAATAACCATACCAAACATTAACGATTAAATATAAGAAACGCGCTACCAGCTTTTAAAACAACCCCAGTAACATACTCCATAACACATGATCTTTTTTACTGATGCTTAGTCATATAAGATATTGCTAAAATACAATTGAAAGCTTTAGAACATTCTTCAAATCTATCTTGATAAGCGAAACATAAGATAGAGTCCGGAAACATATATTGCTTCAAACTAATAATTAAAAATAGCTTGACTTCTATAGATTGTTTGTTATTTTGACAAAAAGTGGAAATAAACACACACACCCCTCCTTTTTTCGATAACATAAATTCACATCCGACTACATCGTGTAGATACTATACAGAAAAACTTTTGGTCTTTTCTGAATATAAACGTTTTAAAATAGGAGTAGGAATCTGATGCCAAAATATACGAAATCTACTCAATATAAGCTACCAATAGATTCTTGTATACTTTACAAACTGAACATTAGATTGTATATTGATTTAAGTGCACGACCATATTGACAATTATATATAAATATGATAGCAGGTAGAATCAATACATATGTGAAAGTTCTACGAACAAATTGATTTTTTCCAATAAAAAGATGGAGGAATTTATTTGCAAGGTCGAGTGTCGAAATTAATTGATTAGTTAGTTCGCTTTTGTATCAGTCAAGAATGGAAATAATATGACAATTTGTGAATATATGTAACGATATAAATAGAAAACCAAGTTGCAATATCTTTGAAGGTGGTTGACTAAAAGATAAGAACAGGCTATGATATGAAATTATTTCCTTGTAAATATAGAAAAATATGCGTAATAAGCGAACAATAAAGCCAGAAATGTACAAAATCCTTTCAGTCCGTGTTAGTGTTGCTTGTTGTTATTATTGGTGATAGTCAGTCAGTCAGCTACAACGTAGGATCAGGCACATACATGCATCGGTCCAAGTTGTCACACCTCATTAGCACAACAACATGAACACCAAATTCATAGTAGTCACTTCAATGGTAGTAATATATAAAAGAAAGATTGTGTATAAGGATATAGTACAGGAAGAATTAGTTCGCGGAAATAAAGGTATAGAGTAATTTTAATCTCAGGGTTTAAGGGAACATAAAGAGTGTATACACCGACGCCATTGTGATCAATTCTGAGCCATGTTATTGATGATAAACTCGTTGGAGACACATACATCCATCCGTATCAAAAATATTTATTCGGATGATAATCGAAATTATACCCAGGTTTTAAATCAACATTTATCAAGTACGACAATCACGTATAGTTTTTACTATAGTTGATACTACTAGTACTATGATTTTATTTATGTCGTTTGTTATTTCTAACTAGTGCAGACGTGGTATGACAATGTGGTCTAACACAAATCTATGGCAGGCTATTTGTTTGTTACGACTGGTCTTCACATATTTTGAAATCAGTAAGTGATTTTTAATGTTAGATTGTTGGATACAACATTAATAAAGCCATAAATCCCGACTGTCTTGCTTATTGGCATTCACAATCAATAAGTGCTTACAACTGCATGAGAATATATATTGTTCGACTGATTGTTCGGAGATGCCAATATACAAGTATACAGATGTGGGATAATCGATCTTACTCTTACTACACAATTATGGATGTAAAATAGTAACCCAACGTAAAATACTGTTATAATCATCTTAAAAATAAGTTCACTGGTCTAGGGTAAGAAGATATCATCAGAAAATAATGGGCATCTAGCTCGGCGTTTGGCTAGATTTTCAATATCATAATGAAGTAAAGATACGTATCCCATAATTTAATAAAATGTAATTTCACAACGACTCGTATTTAGAAACCTTGTAATACACAAACTTAAGTGTGAGCATAAGTAACAATACAGATACTTGTAATATGTTTTCTATAGATTCAGTGACAAGAAAATTTTTGTATTCCCAATTTCTTAGGGAATTAATATCTTATTCGAAGACATTTCATATGATTAAGAGTACATAGAACAGTAATGTAAAAGAAATGACACCAATTACGGTCTTCTGAGTAGCTTAATTCAGAACATCGGAACACTTAGAATTCATTCTTATCCATACGACAGTAAGATAATGCCCTCAAATGCCCTGGTACGGTCAAAGGTGTGGAGAGTCTGCTCTTCTTCTCGAGATGCTCTCACATGGCCACGCGTACATAGACACTACCAGAGAAATACAAATATGTTACATAATAATTAAAATTAAACTTAAGAGGGTATTTTTACTAACTTTACTACACTACCGCTGCGTTTTCGCGGTTGGCGTGTTGTTTACGAAATCGAGAGGACAAAAAGCGAATGTCCGGCACCATAACCGGGTTAGTAGGCACCGAAGATCTATCTAGAGGAGTTGGAAAATTCCGATTTCAAAGTAACGGTACATATTGGCTCCACGATCCTGAGGGAATAAATGATGTATGAACCTATTGTTAGCTATCGGCTACCATAGGACTGCATCTCGTAACGTTGCTCCACTGCCTTGTGGATTAGACCTCTAGATCATAGGCTCGGGGAGTGGCTTCCTAGGAAAACCACCCGCTCCGGTTTGGGTACCCCGGAAATATCCTAGCTCACATGCAAACCAAATGATAATTACTACTGGAGAAACTGCTCTTGCTTCAACGCCCATACAGATAAATCATATTCGCAATCACTTGATAACATTCGTTTTTATATTTTTTATGCTACGTCCCTTATATATTTCCCTTTATTCTCATTTTGCGTATTTTATTTTTCAACTTATACAGCAGCTTGCCTATGGTGGAGACCGTGTTTCTTCTAAACGATCTCAAGTCACTGACTGATCGAAAGTTGAATGCTACCACCGACTACGAATACTGAAAGTCTTTCTGAAACCACATATCTATTCAAAGTGGACTCCTTCAACGTTCGCACAATAATGCAGATCCGACAACAGGTAGGGTTGGTTATGTCTTTAGAAAGTCTCAACATCGATGTCTGTTGTCTATCCGAGGCCTGTATTCAAGGCTATAGTGAAGTATTACATATTCTCACCATCTGTCGCTTTGGAAAGCTTGTTTCGCGTGCATCTATCCGGGAACCCTGTGGCGTCTTCGTCTGGTTTTGTTGGAGTTGGTGTCACACTAAGTGCTAGAGCTAAGGCAGCACTGATCGATCGGATCCCTATTAACAGTCGGTTATGTGCTGTTAGATTAGAAAACTCCATAATAGTGCTAAGAAATCGGTGTTTTGGATAGCACTAACTGCCAGCACAGTCATCGCCGATGTGCTACCTGGCGTTCTCCTTCTGCATCTCAAACTTGAACTCAGGTTGATCACATCGCGATCAGCCACTTCTGATGTGGTTGTGTACGAGACTGCCACTCCTAGCTAGCTACCAGCCGACTGAAAAGTATAGATGTGCATTGGCTGGAGTTGCATGACGCCATGAAAACGGCGAGTAGAGTCGCTTGTAGGTTCGCGAAACGTCCCGCTTATAAGCACTGGTTTTTTTCAGGCTCCTTACAACTTAATGAAGCCCACCGGTCTACTATGGGTGACTGTGCGTTAGACCACAAACGACAACTATTACGCAACAAAATTGGGCAAAGCCAGCGTAAGGACCAAGAGGCTTGGTGGTCGGAGAGTGCTAACGAGTTGGAAGCGGCAGCTGCAGTTAGCAACTGCCAGAAGCTCTTTCAAAGTATCAGAGTCATTGGCAGCAACAAGTATGGAGTGAGTAAAACAATCTGTGAAGATGACTGGATGCCAACCACTAACACGGTGTGCAGCTTTCCGAAGAACAGTTCGACTGGCCTGTTGCCCCGGTAATATCGATTAAACTGACCTACCCTACATGGCCCGTGGCGACTGATCTACCCGAGGTAGAAGTCCGCAAAGAAATCCAACTCTTGAAGCGTTAAAAATCACCAGGCCCAGATGACTTGCCTCTTTTAAAAATGATGGGGACTTTCTGGTTGAGGAACTGACTGAGTTGTTTACAAAGGTCTGGCAATTAGAGAATGTTCCGACATCGTGGGATGATTCTATAAGTTACCCTATCTTCAAAAACGGTTCACGTCGTTTCCTCAAAAACTATCGGGGGATAGGTCTACTTCCGATTGCGTCCAAACTATTGGCTTCCATCATACTTCGTGGATTGTTCAAAATTAGAGAGAGAGAGAGGGATTGACTCGCAAGGAGAAGGCTGGTTTTCGTTCTGGTCGAAGATGCATTGATCATATATTCACCCTCTGTCAAATGTTAGAACACCGTCGTATTGCAGGACAACAATCGGAGTGTTTCTTAACATTAGGGTCGCTTTCGATTCGTTGGACAGGACTGTTCTCTGGGATTATCTACTGAAGAAGAGTGTGACTGAAAAGTTTATTAACATCCTAAAAGCCCTATATATAGACACCTCAGACACAGTGGAGACACATTACCACCTCTCTCGACTGTACCATTCACGTAATGGTGTTAGGCAAGGTTGCCCGATCTCACCATAACTCTTCAACTTTGCCATCGATGACGTTTTGAAAACAGCTCTAATGCATGTACATAATGGTGGTGTGGGTCTGCTACCTGAAGAAAGACATTTCGACCTCGGTTATACCGATGATATTATATTACTGTACGATGATACCAAGTTATGCAATCCACATTTAATCAGTTGTCAGTCAGTGTCCGTAGGTATCGTCTGTCAATTTCACTTTCCAAGTGCAAAGTACTTCTACAGGACTAGTAAGAATCTGATTTTGCGCTTACCATGGATTGTGAGCAGATAGAAGTAATTGAGAAGTTCGTGTATCTGCATAAGAGCTGGTGGTGGCGTGAGTATTCAGATCAAGTCACGTATATTGAGAGCCAGAGCGGCTTATGCCAATCTGGGTCATCTTTGGCGCCTTCGTGATGTTAGTCTGTCTGTAAAAGGTCGGATCTACAACGCGCTGGTGAGAGCAGTTTTCCTCTATACTTGTGAGACCTGGTCTATTCGAAGATGAAGATGTTAGACGACTCTTTGTGTTTGATCATCGTTGTCGTCGAAGGATTGCTGATATTCAGTGGCAATTCCATATCAGTAATGCAGAGGTTTGGCACCGTGTGTTCAGAAGAGTGACGATGATTCAATTAGTGTCACTGTTTGGAGACATCGACTCCAGTGGTTTGGACATGTAGTAAGAATGTCTTCCGAGTGAATTCCATATCGCATTATTTACCGTCGGTGGGACCGGTTGGGAAAAGCAAAGAGGTGGTCAATGTTTGACATGGCCACGATACCATGTACTTATCACTTGGAAGGTGCAAAGCACATACTATACCTATGGACATTGACTGACAACTGATTGAATGTGGATTGCATACTTTGGTATCATCGCACAGTAATATAATATCATCAACATAATCGAGGTCGAAAAGTCTTTTTACCTCTTACCTTATGATTAATCTTAACATTGCTTAGAAAGTCAGTTAGTGATGCATAAATAATGCCCTTGATCAAAAACGTGCAGGCTATACATATCCCCTACCTTCATAGACTATGTATTACAGGGCTGTAATGAACAGTATACTTGCCCTTCGGTTGGCAGACGGACACCCTCCTGAGCCATCGGTGACGCAATTTGCCGATAGTCAGGGAGACTCTCAAAACTTATATCGAGATTCTTTCAGACATCAAACACGGCTAATCAGAATTCCAAGATATGCGATGTGGCTAACAGTCCTCACTGTTCTACTCTCGATAGAAAGTTGGACTAATCATTGACGCAGAACAGTCATGAAAGCTAATTTTAAAGTAAGAATGCATTTTAAGCACGCTTAAAACGGCAGTGTATCGTAATATGGTTTCTATAAGAGGGTTTCGAGCACTCTGGTTGTTTTTTAGAGCTACTGCCAAAAGGGTATAATTAAAATATCATATCCAACTGACATTTAAGTAACCGATCCATGCTGCAAAAAAGCCGGAACTCTTTAGAAAATCTGAAGGACAAGTAATGATTCCGAAGCTATTTTTTGTCCTGATTTTGTTCGCTCAAGGATTGGTTATTAAGGAACGCATAAAAAATGGCTTGAAAATCAAATGTCCTGTTCTCTCACCGACTAATAAATCACCATAAATTTTCACCAAAACATATAGTATCTACACCACTGATGAATGCCTTTTAGAAGAAATTAAACCCTTAAAGAGATGTTTACGGCAAAGGTCAACATAAACCAATTTATCAACAATTTTCCTTTTTTGAGGTTTCCAAACAAAGGATCCAAAGATAACTATACCTAGACTCACTAAAGCCTTGTATAAAATTATCAACAACTGACTGCCATCTAAGAGGCATACGGAAAAACTCAGCATTCAGTTGGTCTAAAATAAATATGTAGCAGCAATGAGTAAGTCACAAGCGCATTCCGAGACCCACACTGTATATGTTGAAATCAAACAATCTAGGGATCTATAAAAATTACAGGAATAAAAAGTATCAAGGAGTCACCTACATTATTGAAAGATGAATTTATTTTATCCACATGTAATGAGAACAAGGAGTTACAGTGTTTTTTTTATACATATTCATAGTAAGAGAACTGGACAAAGACTCTAGAAAATGGGAAACCCATTAGTATAATCTATGGTGATCTTGAAAAGACCACCAAACTTTAACTAAAATTAGATACATTTGAAATAGCTAGCAATAGGTTCAAATGGATCACGGATTTCTTTTTTAACTGGGTACATAGTAAGGATCGGTTATAAAGCCTTATATCGGTAGTCGGTACACAGCGAGTTTTTGCTGACCTCATTATTGAGCCACTGTACTGAAGACGTAAAAATAGGACGAGGAGTAGGAAATTATGAAGATATACGAGTCCTCAAAGCCGATCTCAGTATCTTGACTAACTAATGTGTGACATAGTTAGCGTCAATGAAGATATATGACCGTATCCGCGTGAACATCAGAAATATAGCACACAACACTTACGAAACTGTCGAAACATCTCTGCTGTCTTAAGGACTACAGTAAGGTGTAGCTTGACAATTAAGATGAAAAGTAATTTGGTTACAGTCAAAAAATACTGCTACAGTATGTAAGTCAGAAACTTTAACAAACCAATACATGTGTACTACTCTTTAAGCAGAGTTAGTGAGGTCTAAACTAAAAAGATGTGGCAACCTATACCTCCTCAAAAAGAAGACCGCCTGAGCAACTGTACAACGGATGGTTCCGAAAGTTGAGTATCTTCATACTACTCTACTGTCTGTTACTTATTTATTGTGCAAGGATATTCATAAACGACTTCAAACTTGGTAGGTTTTGTCTTTATTCTTTAGCCACCTAAGAACGACTCAGATGACAGAGCAAGTGAGTTCATAAACGACCTGTATCCAGATGGCACATGCTTTAGATTGAGTAAGGAAATCTTGAGGACAAATGTGTTTGGAAAGCTGATCGATTCACTGAAGGAAAAACCAATATATAGCACACCACTTAAATAGGATTAACATGAGTAACCATTTTCTTGCCCACTAACCACCAATTTAAATCCAACTTCTATAAACTCACTTAAAAATGAACGATATCAGGAGCTAACTGTGCAATTTCTGTTCTCTATAGAAAGAAGATTGGCTGGAAATAAGGAAGAAGTTTGAAAGTGTAAACAGTGCTACGCCGCCTTGCCTTTCATTTTTACAGAGATCTTTATGTGATATTTGTATCAAACTGACAAGTCAACTTGGTCAGTCAGATTTCCAGAAAGAGCACGCTTCACTGAAAAGATCTAAGGCATATAGAAGTTCAAAAGCCAGAAAAACAGGTACGCAAGTACTTGACACTATTTAATGAATGAATTTAGTTTTCTTCGTCTGCTATATTATCAAACGTTGCTTCAGTAGAATAATGTGTATTATTTGATCGTTTTGAGATTGCTTTATAGCAACAGCAAAGCTATTTCATTAGGACAGGCTAGATATGTTGTTTTTTACGAGTATTTCATGTAATCAGTGATGTAGTGCTTATTGTTTCGCTACATGAGCCTCCACAACATACGGCTGCCTACGTGACTGAAAAAGCTCTTAAATATACTACTCTGGATGTAAGCTGCTTAAAATACACCAGTAGAAGTAAAAAAGCGTAGTCAGGGGAAAAACGTTCGAGCTGTACAAGTTCAGGAAAGGAATATTTTTGGAGGCTCATATAGAGGTATTTAGCCGTGGTAAAGACAAGACGCCATACAACCTGATTCGTTGGTTTAAATACATGGATTTGTGTACAGTGACAACACAATGTGCGTTCCAAGTCGCTACTCAAGAGCTGTAAACTTAGTCAGAAAGTTATCTAAACTTTCAAAATCTTTATAGTAGTCGGCCATCTTGAACAATTATCGTATATATCAACTGGACTTACCCCCGACTCTGTACATATTATTGGATGCCATTGGGATTCCGTCAGTCGTGTAAATGACAGCTATTTACAAGTACTCCGCGAAGGATTCGAATAAACCCTGGAATTCAGAGGGATGCCAGATTCAGAAGTTGATAATCCAGTGCGCGAACGAACAGTTGATCCCTAATCCGCGTCTGTGTGAGAGCTGTGCGTATGCACGTGCGTGTGCGGATGTATGTGTGTCGTGCGTACGTATATGCGCGTCTGTCACTAAGTCTATTGAGCTTTTTGGAGGGGTCGGTGTGTACGTTTGTTTTTGGATTTAGGTGCGTTAATTGTGCCCAATTCTCAGGCAACCATCGTTAAATGAAGTAGCAACCCGTTCTAAACTTAACATCAACTGAAACTTCGGGTTTTTTTCTGAGGAAATTCTATTTAGATGAATGATTGTTGTTTTAGATGCAAGCCAAGTAACCTCAATGATATTTTCAGATCCAAAATATTAAGGTATGATACATTTTTGGAAGGGTATCAAAATGGATATCGTTTTGAAGTAAAAATTCTGATCTGCTTGATTATCATGTTCGATTTTAAGATTTTTAAGGTGTTGATGAGATTTTATTCAAAACAAAAGCTAATATGACTTATTTAGTGAAAAAAATGTGTGTATAGAGGCCGATTAGGAAAAATAACTTGATTTCTATTATTGTCGTACTGATTAATTTTTGTTGCTAAACTGAACTTACGTCTTTTTAATGTGGTGGACTATATTGGATTCATTCTCGTAAGCATAAACGACCTTATTCTGTCATCAATTGTATTCGGCTCATTCGTACCTTACACTCATATTATGCAGTTAGATGAAGCTCTGAAGTATATTACGTAAAATAGTTTATTGTCTTTAGTATTCTTTCATGTTAGATTATAAATCTCAATGAATATTTTTGACCAGAAATACTATGTTACCATGCTTTTAATATTGTTTCCCTTTAACATCATTCATGTATCTAGTAATAAGATTATTCGGTTTTCTTGTTCCCAGTACAAGATAAACGAAAGTAATGTTCGCTTTTCGATAGCTTTAGGGTATACAGTTTCACATACCACTCACCACTCATTTAATACACTACTAATATTGTGAAGAAAACAATACAGCATAGACGAGTCAGCTATTCTATTCATGTCTATACATTAAACCAGTATTCTGGACAATATATTAACAGTTTCCTTTATTGGTGGTCGGAAAAATACTAATGACTAGAAAGATTTAGAAAGCATTCTATGTTTGATACCGAGCAACTCAGTATTAGACATCCCTAATTCCGTTTGATATTAAAGTTATAGTGTTTACGTCATATTATATCTACAATTTCAAGTACAGACTGGAGGGAGATTGAATCTATTCGTAAAAATATATTAGCTAATTGAAAACATGAAAACTTTATTCATCCCTAAACTTAACACTTTCCACATAAATAGTAATATTTGCAAGTGATACATTACCTTGACTAAGTTTCGATTATTAACCATTCGACTTTCTATTTGTATGTTACAGAGAATATACAATTATCGCATATTTTATTTGGATGTAAGTAATGACTAAACAAAGATCAGGTGAATAATCTAGAGATTAGTACTTCTATGGATACAATAATCTTGACTCAATAACGTCAAGCAGCAATCATTGTCTCTCTTAGTTTAGCTACTCATGAGTAGTTACATTTTATTGATGAGTTTTTTGCAAAGTACCGCTATCAACGGATCGTTAATACTGCAAATTTACTATGAATAATACAAAAATAAAATATCCAAAGAATTTTTAAAAATTATGTTAAAAAGTTTCAAATAATAATTTGAACTTTCTACTACCATTTCAATTCTATTTTTCAATTCTCAGCTACATAAGTACCATCACCAAATAACGACAATTTTGATTTTAAAAGATTGACTACACAACTTTCGTTTATGAAATAAATGTTGCTTTGAAATAAAGTCAAAGCTTCTTTGACTAGTAAAATAATATGTCTATAGGGTATTAAAATGAATTCATTCTGATTTATCATGTGGATTATGTTATGTTTTCGAAACAATCTAACCTAAAGATATGAATAAATAAGTTCATACCAATTAAAACAAATATTTGGTTCAAATCGTACTATCTCTAAATGATACAAGAAAATTTAATCAGTTAAGGGAATATTTTTCGGTTAATCTGATTGGTTTTTAAGACTAAAAATCTCTCAGTTGTATTATTTTTGAAATAACACCTAACATTAAATTTATGTTTCCTTGCAAAAATTGATTAGCAGCTAACAGCCTCAAAAGTTTATTACATATCTTATTCTGATGCCGCTGAAATTTCATTCGACCTGATAACAGTAGATATTTAGGTGAGTGGAATAAATCTTATGATCTCTTCAGTATATCTACAGATACATTCGTTTAATTGTAACAGTATTTATATTCATTTCATATATTTGTTTCTGGATCAGCAAAATAAAATCCGTCAAGCATACACATATGTCAATAAGAGACTGATCAATTGAAGCTCAAAACATTAATCGGTAGATCCAAACAACCAATGTAAAATTGATAATAAAATTTACTTTGAATTAATATAGAATAATAATGTAAATATGCATCATTTTAATTTATTCCAGAAATTCTAGGTTCAATAATATTTTTGTGTTTTTCGATGATTTGTATCCAGATAAGCTTAAACAATTTTTATTTAAATGTTGTTATTAATGTGATCAACTACGTTGTGATTGAAGCAGATACCTTCATTGACATCAGGTAATTGTTCGATTGCATTTAATTTAGAAAATGAGATTGAATTAATTGCGGTATAATATCCTACTTATCTCAAGAGCTAATTTATTTTTACATAAGGTTATGAGTGAACATTATCACTTAGTTGTTGTTATATCTAGGACTTGAATTTTTGCTGTACCGCGTAAAATTCGGACACTCGAACGCTAGAACCCTCCAAGTCGCAAGTTATAAGACAGAAGACGAGTATGAAGGAATCTTATTCTAAACAGTGTCAAATATGGTACGAAACACTCAGGTATTCATAGTTTTTAGTAAAAACGAAATCATCATTATAGTCATCCAATCCGTATTCAATGGCTTTTGACATTTGTCCAGTTGGTAAGCTACACGTGGAGATTTTGAAATATTCTTCCAAAAGATGATTAGATGGAATGTCTTCGGTTCTTTCTGAGGTTCTTAAAGGTTTTTGAGTTTACCGCCAGTCGTCTCCACAGTTGTGAATAACAATGAAATATTTATGAAATCCCCCTTGTTTAAGTAACTTCCTAGTAAATATCAATTCTTTATTAAAAACTATCTTGATTGTACTAGAATGGTTTCTAAGATAAAAGTTATAAACTCTGAAATGAAACTTATAAGGTTAGTTATTTTAATGTATTTGTATGATCATGTAAAATTTTGCACAATTCTACGTTGTATCCAAATTCAAATGAATATGTTTAGAAGTCACATTTAATCATTTACATACTCAAAATTTAATCAATTAAAATCTTTCATTACATTTTTACTTTATCAATTACATTGGATTTATTTGAATGACATGATATTTGATGTTTTAGAAATAACAATTAAACGTGAATAATCAATTTATCAAGAGTAAAATTTATTTCATTTTCATTTATTCATTTAATTATATGTTATTCCGGTAATGTGATGAAATATTAGATAATATTTCTGTTCTAACATTCTGTAAATAGGATTTTAATACTTAAAGACAATATCATCAAATTGTAAAAAGGTATAGTTCCCACGTGAAAACAAGAATCATTAAAAAAAATTCAAATAATCAAAACTTAATGAAACGTTCCACAATGAAAAGATGAACATTGAATAGGTTCACGTTTATTCCATATTTTCAAAATTCACAGAGGTTTCCAACAATTATTTTTTTAAATAAATCTCTGCATAAAACAGCATGATGATTGCGAAATTTGTTAATAACTTTAACGGAAAACATGAATACATATATGACCAGAAATTGAAGGTAATCTGTAAAAAATATAATTTGTGACCGACTTATACTCTGATAGATTTAAAAATAATTTTATATATTAATTGGTATAGGTTGCTGTTTTCTTTTAGCCTATCGTAGGCTTCAGTCTAGTTTGACGATAAGTTATAGACAGATGAAGTTTGATGAGCAGAGTGTATAAAAGAGTCTGAAAGATAAAAGAAAAACATAAATGTAGAACCTACGACTCAGTAGACACACAGGATGCACTTACACTTAATAATGAAAGGGATCGGCAACAATTAATAATAACACAGGGATCAGGTTAAAACAGTCAGATAATCGAGAATGGGAGTTGAACATATGTGATTCCAAATCCGTTACTGGCTTACTTGTGACATCTAGTTAATTAAGATAAATTTTGGACTCAATACAATAGTCACAAATAATATATATTAGTTAAGGCTACAATTAATAAACTCATAACCAAGTGATTGAGAGCTATACTGTTAATCACTAATCAAAAGTAAAGCCAAATATTTGAAATTACACACGCTGAATATTAATAAAATATATTGATTTAATTAGTTAAAGATATATGAATCATTTTATATTGGTTGAAAATCTAATAAAAATGAAAAATAGAACTAAACAGCCATTGAATACTTCCTGGTTTTCAATAATCATTATGTTCATTTAGATCAACGGTGATAAAACGACTCATCTATATCATCTAAATAAATTATAAGTAACTACTTATTAGTAGTATGATCTGACAAGGCGTTTATTAGATTTTAGTTTAAGAGCGCTGATCATGGTGTTGACAAAGTGAGAGAGTTCAAATAGACAAATGCCAATAGTAACGAATTATAGTTGCATTGTATTGTGAAGTGAATGAATTCAAAACATAGGAGTTATTTTATTTTAAATAAATAATATATTTGTAATATCCCAATGAGTATGAAAATTAGATTTTCTGGCATTTCGTGACTCAGTATAATCCACTTCTTCAAAGAATAAATAACTAAATTTACCCAATGCTCTTG